TTACATGTGAATACTAACCGCATTTTGAGTATATTTTTTACATCAGTAGATTGTATTGGATTTTTCTCCCTTTCTTTTCCATATCTCTGAGCCAGTAACTCCCACCTTTTCTTGAAAAATAAATCTACTAAACCTGAGGGCAGGCAGTCTTAGAAAGTAAGGCATCAGCCTTTCGAAAAACTCTGCCCCTGACGAACATTCCTTTCTTTAGTGAAGAAACGGAGACAATGACGTGTATCCATGAACTCTGCAATGCTCTGGGTTTTCTTAAACTTTTTAAGTTACTCACATTTTCCAAAGAGCAAAGTCAAACACTGGAACTTGCTCTAGAAAGGAAAGTACACTAGAACGCTCGTGATACTCCTGTTCGGATACAGCACCCACGGTAATGCAGCCACAGCAGGTAAGCGTATAAAATAGTGGTTGGCATAGTAACAAGGCAAGCAGTGGCCCCTCAGGTAGAGAAAACAGCAGACTTGCAAAGTTAGGTTCATGCAGGCCAGTGAGTAAGAACCAAGCTTCACCACTTAAGAGCTGGGAAATAAATACTTTTTAAAAGAAAACAGTGCAACATGGATTATACTAATAGCTCAAGTTTGCACAAAAAGTACAAAATGCCTGTTCGTGTGTAACATTGGCTATGATAACATTTGCATATAAACACGCATCACAATAAAAAGACTCTTAGGAAAACTGTCTATATACAGATGAAGAGAACACTTACATGTACATTTTATCTATCAAAGAGATTTGTAAAATTTCAAGAGAAACATACTTACTATTTTTTTGCTTCATGATATTAACTTTAAAGCAAAAGCTTTAAATATTTTTATAGAATAAACCTTCCTGGGTTTTTAACTTGCTATAATGCGATGTACTGCTTTCCACACAACGTCTGAGAGCAGTGTACAATCATAGACGAAAGTCACTGCAGTTGCCTGTACAAAACAAGGGCACGCCACGGATGGGGAAGGGCGGCGCTGCGCTTCCTCCTCTGCCAGGCTGCAGTAAGTATGGCAATGTGCCATTCCGGAACGGCAGACGCTATCTCCCCGTCCCGTGGAAGGAATTAGTGATTAGGACCTCATTACGTTTTTTCCCTATGTATTTGCCTAAATTTTCAGCTTCTGGGAGAAAAGAACGCATAATTTTCCTACCAAAAAAAAAAAAAAATCCCATGGCACAGTGGGTGATTATCAAGGGTGAGTCCAGCACCAGGCAAGTGCCCGCCATGAAGTTGAAGGCACAGCCAATACCTTCCCCACTGACACTTCTACCTGAGCTGCCCAACCCTAACTCTAACCCTGACTCTTGTCTTCCATTTTTCGTTTCCATAGAGCTTTGAGATATGAGAACAGCTCAAATGGGGGGGATGAGGGAATAGCCTCGAGTAAGATCCGGTACTGACAATAACGAGTGGAATGAGGAGCAGGCGGGTGCAGCTGGTTTAACCACGTGCGAGGCTGCTGCTTAGAGAGCTGACATGGAAAGTTGTGGGAAGTTCCAAACTTAACAACTCGAACTGTGCAAAACATGGCTTATACTATATGTGCGCTTTATTACTTAATCTTAATGAATTAAAATGTTCTCTCTTGTTATTAACATTGCGGGTTGTTTTCTGTATCTGCTAAGAATATAGCATAAAAAGAATATAGCATCAAAATAACTTAATTTGCATGTTGAAAGGCACGAAATTCATTCTTCATCATTGCAGGGAAATCTTCCATTTTAAAAGTTTTGTGGACTCCCATCTTGCCTGCCACATATGAGACCCACAATGAGTACTGTAGTAGCACTCTTAACTATATGGCTCGTAGTAGCAACCACAAAAGACCTGTAGCACACTAAGTTTAAAACTTAATTTGGGGGACCAGCGGTAGGTGTAATGGCTATGTCGCTGGACTCCCGTGTAGTCGATCGCAGTTTGAGTCCCAGACCAGGTGGCTTAAACTCACACTGGAAGCGTGTGTGTGTGCGCCCAAGATTCCGAGAGGAGAATGGAGGAGAAGGGATTGTGGCGTGGCCATCCCCCCTGGGGGGTGATTTCTCACTTTCTGTCTCTCTCTGACTTTCTGGCAAGTGCATGCGCCCTATAGCAAAAACCTCTCCAAAAAAAGAAAAAAAAACTTAATTTGGTACAAAAACATGTTTTAGCACATGTCCAGCTGAATAAACACATCTCTCTCGGTAACGATTTTCCCGAGTAGTTTAAATCGCAGGAAATAGTGACTTTCTATGCAGCGCTTACACTTTGGTACTGAGCCATGGATGTGACAGATCTCTCTAGTGAGTGCGGTTTTGAGTGTCTCCACTCGGACGCTCTATTATGATATGTAAGGTATTTAGCCCTGCACGTTTCCATTTCCAATCTGGAGGGTGTTACTAATGACGCCCTCTTCCTAGAATCCTGAGGACTAAGTACACTGATGCACGTAACTACACTGTGGTACAAACTTCTGTGACGTAGGAACATCCCAGCGACCGGTGAATGTGGAAAATCTGTCAGTGTATCACGGATGTCATTTTGATCCAAATGTGCTTTTTCCTAGTTGATCTTTAACCCACCAAATAATAGCAGCTTAACATGAAGTCGGCTAAAGGCAGCGGGGTAAAGGGACCGTGCAAAGTTACGACTCGCGTTACAGCGGCCGGCCAGGAGCCTCGTGTTTATCACTTCTCCTCGGCCTTGAGTGAGTCTGAGAGCACGTGCCTGCTGTGCTCCACGGCTTGAGGGGGCTGGGTGTGCGCGTGGGCTGCACGGCAGAGTGCTGAGCATTTCTGATGTCACGGATACCTTGAATGGTTCATTCCCAAGATCTAGCCATGCTTGGATCTACTCCAGCTAATAGCAACCGTTTCTGGAAAGTGCTTAGTTCTTCTGACTTCTCTGGCATAGTAACAACATGGCTTCGCAGCTCAGTCTGGCTACTCTGTGCTTACTGCGTGGTTCCCTCTGGTCTCTGTCACATGCACCTCCTTAATTCGACAATCTCAGCCCCTGCTTTCTATTACATGACCTTTGACTGTATAAAGTCCTGTATCTGCCTGAGTATTTATTTTTCATTAAAAATAAACATAAATAAATAAAGATATAAAAATACATTTTTTTTGAGAGATTTTCACTGTAGGGCGCGTGCGTTCGCCAGACAGACAGAGAGAGACATAGAGACAGAAAGCGAGAAATCACCCCCCAGGGGGGATGGTCACGCCGCAATCCCTTCTCCTCCATTCTCCTCTCGGGATCTTGGGCACGCACGCACACGCGCCCGGCGTTGAGTTTTAAGCCACTGGGTCCGGGACACGAACCGCGGTCGACTATGTGGGAGTCCAGCGACATAGCCATTACGCTAACTGCTGGTTCCCTAAAAATACATTTTTCATGTCTTGAATTGTGGTAGTGTTTTTGTAAGATCATTAATGTTTTATTAATGCTCTATGAAAGTTAATAGTTTTTTGTTTTTATTTATTTTTTAATTGCCAGAGGCTGTGTGTACAAGAAATAGTGAGGAAGCAGGGGAGAAAGTACCTCCCAAAGGGTGCAGAGACACCACAACCCCTCCTCCTCCACTTCACCATCTGGTCAGGACCTTGGGCACTCAGGCACCTGTGCTTGGTGTGTTCCTCCAGTCTCCAAGGCTCAGACCCCCAGCATAGCTGGCCATGTGGGATCTAGTTCTCTTAACCACTAGGCTACAGGACCAGCCTGGGCTAACAGTGCTTTAAGTGGTCTGTTTCAGAACTATTTTTCCCCAAATCTCTTCACCTTTCATGTGTAATTCGAGAATGTAAGGTTTTTAAGGAATGTCTTATTTGGTGCTACAGTAGAAATACCTGTGTTTATGAGGATTTCAAAAAGTCCATGGAAAAGTGGAATTAAAGTACAAGTTTATTTGGTTACAAGTTTTTGAAATCCATGCAGTTTTTTAAACTACCCACTTTCCATACGCTTTTGGAAGATCCCTTGTATTTAGTAAACCACTTAGCACAAATGAAAACTCAAATATTATCACAAGTAATAACTGGATACAAAAATATTCCCCCCATTTAGAAAGATCTGTCACACTCCTAGGCTAGTATCCACCCAGTCACCTGAAGTCACTGAAAATTATAATCTACAAGTAATTTTTCTTCAATGTATCTAAAACTCATCTTCTCTGAGAGTTTAGTTTTACTCTATTTTCCAAAACACAATTTAAAAAGCAAAATCCTGATTGATTCTTTCAAATGATAGTTTCTGACAAATTTTAATTGATGTTATAAATAGGATTAGAATTATGGATTAACTTGACATCCGTACTGATTCGATACTATATTTTTAATTTTTAAAACTCTGTCAGATGGTTTGTGTGCTCGGCAGGGAGGGAGACAGAGAGAGAATAAAAGGCAGCCTGTAAGCACCCTCCACGAGGCACAGTCCAACTGCAACCCCTTCTCCTCGTCTCTCCCTCCTTTCAGATTCTGAGCACACAAGCACACACACCCGGCATGTTTCTCGGGATGCCAGGTCTGGGACTCAAACCGCACAGCTGGCCATGGGGATGCAGTTGCCTTACCTACCAGGCCACGGCAGGCCCAATACTGTAATTTTTAATAAAAGTATCCTTCACAGACACAGAAAATCCATCCATCAAAACCAAATCCCGTGGATGAGCTCTCACTGCACCTCCTGCTTTAGGAAGAAAGGAGGGGCTTTGTACAAAGTCTGAACAACGAACTGTTTGTTTGGAGTATGATATGTGGTACAATAAAAGAGCTTTTATGTATTCTAAAAGTAAAGGTTATTAGAAAGACTTTAAGTATTTACTAAGGGATATGTATTTTGGATACTGCGTTGGCTGTGTTTCTACTTCTAATTCTAATTTTAATGTTTCTGACTTTCTTACAGCAACTAACGAACACTGAAATTTATTAGCACCATAGCTTAATACAGCTATTCAGCACAAAATATAGACCTATCATTTTCATTTCCTTTAAATACCTGCTATGTGAAAGACACTTACTGGCTGAAGCCTGAGGTTGCATGCGAGGTATTCCCCCATTTGGCACTTGAAAATTGGAGTCACTTCTGCTGCTTTTCACTGAGTCAACTTGTGTGGTAGATGTTCGGGACAGGTTTGGAAGACTGCGTCTTAGTTTTTCTATAATACAAAATTTTAATTAAGAAAAAATATCAAACCATTCTTTCAGATGGAGAAAATTAAAATATTAATTAGCACTCAAAAATCAAAGTATTTATTTAAACAGCCTGCATATTTTAGAAAATGTGAAATACTCAATTTAAAAAAAAAAGAAAAAAAAAAACTCTCCAGCCCAGAGTCAATAAATGGTTAGGAGAAGAGAACTATATATCATATATGTAAATGAAAATATAAATATAAATAACTTCATCAGTAAAATAAAACGGAAGTAACATATCTAAATAAGGTTAAATGCACTTTTTCCTTTATTTTTGCATTGATTCATATTAGTAAAATGGTAAACATGACTAAATTCTTGAGTTTCTTATCTGAAATATAAAACTTTGGTAAAAATCGGGTCAGCAGGTGATGTAGTAGTTTGGGGCACTGGACTCCCACACGGCTGACCATATTTTGAGTCCCAGATGTGGCAGCTTGCTTTCTTACTTTCTCTCTCTCTCTCACTCTGTCCCTCTCTGGTCAAATTAAAATAAATAAACAGATTAAATAAAGTTAAATAAAATAATCCTTAAAAAAAAAAAAAAAAACTGGTTAAAAATCACATTACTCTCATATTGAACTATGAAGGACTTTCTTCCCAGAAAACACTCGGACGACCTGCAGTGCCTGTCTGCTGCACCTTCGTTTTTTTGTTTTTTTTGTGTTTTTTTTTTTTTTTTGGAGAGGTTTCTGCTATAGGGCACGTGCGCTTGCCAGACAGACAGAGAGAGAGACATAGAGACAGAAAGCGAGAAATCACCCCCCAGGGAGGATGGTCACACCGCAATCCCTTCTCCTCCATTCTCCTCTCGGGATCTTGGGCACGCACGCACATGGGCCCGGTGTGAGTTTTAAGCCACCGGGTCCAGGACACGAACTGCGGTCGACTACGTGGGAGTCCAGCGACATAGCCATTACGCTAACTGCTGGTTCCCACCGCACCTTCGTTTTTGACGCTGCTGGTCTGTAAGTCCGCGGGGTGGCCCTGAAGTGAAAGGCGTGGCTGCTGCAGGCGGCTGATCATAGGCTGTGGGGACACTCTGCTGTACTCTATGCCCCGCGCAGGGGAGCGCGAGCGCGGGGAGTTTCTGGGTGACTGCTTGGGAGACGGTCGAGGTGAGTTGCGTGGCGAGGGTGAAAACCTGCTAACGGCAGGGTACACTGCGTGGTGCATAGCGTCGTCTTCGTCGTCTAAGCTCTGTGCGTCGAGCTCCTGATCACTGAATGTTCCGCGTCTCGTGGAATTGCAGGATGAACCCGAGCTGCGCCGAGACGTGGTGGCTGCATATTCTTGCCGGAGACCTGCAATGATGGGTGTTATTATTAATTATGTTTCTTCGATTAGATTTTTACACTTTTAAATATTTTAAAGGCTTTGTAGTAAAAGATTACCATTGACAAATTCAAACAGGGTATAAAGGAAAAGCTCCCTTTCAATTTGTAGACATAAGGATGCATAAACCACATCTGAAGGTTATTTCTTTACTCATGATAAGAGCGTGTTTGTGTGTGTGTGTGTTTGTGAGAAAGAGAGAGAGAGAGAGAGAGAGACGGAGAGAGGAGCATCCCCCAGAGAGTCTGGTTATAGCCTTGCTGCAGTTTATTGTCACCCAGATCCCGGACACTCCCGTGCATACCTGACATATTCGGGGCTGGCTGGACTAGGGATTCGCACCACGGTTGTCCCGTGGGATCCAGCTTTCCCTTGAGTTGCATTACTGCTGTGCCAGAGAGCCAGCCCTGAAGGTTATTTTTAATTCAATTAAATTCTATAAATATTTGCTCAGTGTCAAGCTTCTTGAATCTAAATTCTAAATGACAATGTAGAAGCATAAATTGTATATATTTCTATTCCTAAAGACAGTAATCCAAACTTGAGACTAATATTGAAGGATTATGGAGGGAAAATAATTACTGTCTAAGCCAGTGAAGAGAATACATCATACATCCAACCTCCTTGGATACTTCTCCCTTGAAGTACTCTTACTCACGAATATGATAAAGTATCAAAGAAACATCTAGTCTACTCTAAGGAATTCAATACTTGGAAATAAATTTCAACTGCATCATTACTCAAAATGCTTCTAAAGCAAGCTTAGATTCTAGGATTGCGAGTAAGAATTTTCGAAAGCGTTCTCTATGATAGCTTCAGAAACACCCAAACAACCTCTGGAGCCCTTCAAATGGTTTAGAAGTTTCTACAACAAAAATAAATGTTGATATATAAAATGGTAATAAGAAACAAACTATAATGCAAAAGAAAGTACAGCGTTTAAAAGGTAACACTGAGCAAGTCCTGCTGACTAGTGACTACACAGCCAAAAAGATCTGCTACAGAGAGAGTATTTAAGAAATGCATGCCAACACAGACAGCATCATCAGCAAGGTTTCTCAAGCTGCAGGTGGGAGCCACCCCAGGGAGCTTCTCCCTCCTGTCAGGTTTGGGAACTACAGTAGTAACCGACACGTTTCTCCATGTCCAGCTACAGCAAATGTGGCACTCAAGTCATCTAACGTAAGGTGACAGGCCAGTGACAAGGGCACTGTTGCAGAAAAGCAAAACCCCCATCCCAATTAAGGTTCTTCATGAACAAGAAGGCCCTCAGAAAATTACCACTGTTACAGGGTTTCCATTTCTTAAAAATGAGGGTGCCGGACCAGGTAACAGCCCAAATCTGTAATTCTACATTTCTAATCGTTACCAGAAAAGTGGAGAACGAACGCTGTAAGACTCAGGCCAGCAGCGGCATGGTGGTTAGGGTGGCGGGATCCCACACGGCCAACTGTGCGGTTTGGGTCCTATGTCCAGCGACTTGAAAAACATGGCGGGGGGACCAGCAGTTAGCGTAATGGCTATGTTGCTGGACTCCCACGTAGTCGACTGTGGTTCGAGTCCCGGACCTGGTGGCTTAAACTCACGCCGGGCGCATGTGCGTGCGTGCCCAAGATCCCAAGAGGAGAATGGAGGAGAAGGGATTGTGGCGTGGCCATCCCCTCTGGGGGGTGATTTCTCACTTTCTGTCTCTCTGTCTCTCTCGGTCTGGCGAGCGCACATGCCCTATAGCAAAAACCTCTCCAAAAAAAGAAAGAAAAAAAAAAAAAACAAACATGGCGGGCACGTGTGTGTGGGGGCCCAAAGCGCATGCGCTATAGCAAAAACCTCTCCAAAAAAAGAAAGAAAAAAAAAAAAACAAACATGGCGGGCACGTGTGTGTGGGTGCCCAAAATTCCGAGAGGAGAAAGGAGGATGGCTGCAGCGTGGCCATCCCCACTGGGGAAAAATGCCTCACTTTCTATCTAAATCCCTCTCTCTCTCTGTCTCTCATCAGTAAGTGCAATACCCTCTAGCAAATTAAAACAACAAGAAAGGGAAATCTCTTTAAAAAAAAAAAAGCTGTAGTACATTTTAGCATCTTTCCATTTTTACTAACCAATAAAATAAATATTAATGCATAGAATGACTCAGAAAGGATTAAATTAAGGCTAAAAATTCTGTTCTTTGTTACCAAAACATAAAACAAAACCTAGAGAAAGTAGCTGGTTGAGCTTCTAACAAAATAGAGTTTAAAGAAATAATGGAGGAACGAATCTGTTCTAAGGCATACAGCTGGTCAGTAGTCTCTATTTTTTTTTTCATGTGCATGACAATAACTAGCCTCTCCTCGGCTGACGGCACCAAGATCTCAGTGAGGAGTTAGGTAAACTGAGAGGAGAAAGGGGTATTATGGTATTAGTTTTAGGGCTAAAAATAAGGAAAGCAAGCACCAAGTCCTTCTGTCTCTTATGGGAAGCTATGTGGAAATGGGAGATGAATCAGCAGAGCAGGAAACATTCGGCCGTTTCTTAACAAATGTTACAGCTCGATAGATTTCTACACCGTGAAAGGACCTATTATACACAGACAACGGAGGTTCTGAACTCAAGCTTAGCGATGCTCCATTTCCCTCAGCTGTTAGTCAAGACTCAGCTGTTTGTCAAGACTCAGTGGACTTCGAGGATTTTTTTCATTGTGAAGGTGAAAGGGATCAATTTAGTTTTTACTTCACAATTAAATGCATGGCATTTTCTAATAAAGTACAACATAGGCAAGAATAGTATTCCCACCACTTTCTCACGGTCAGATGAGAGCCAGGGCACCCAAGTACCCTTAAAAAAGTATGAAACATTTTGTGTATATGTATACTTGGAGATGACAGAGGTCATACTTCCCACTGGATCCTCAGAGATGTCTGTGACCTAAACTTTCAAGGACCACTCTGCAAAGCACCATGGTGTGCTTCATCCAACCTAACGTCACAGTTCTAATTTTCTTCATAAGGGTCTTTTTCATAGTTTATATCATACATCCTCAAGAGAGGTGACATTTGTCCATAAGAGGAAAAGAACTGGCTCTTGAATGTGAAAATAAATCCTGCATTCATAACTTTGTGGAGTTTCTAGTACTTAAACAGATGAAGAGTATACCTGCGACATTAGAATTTCATGGGGGACAAAAAGGGAAAAAAATGATAGGGCTCCTGACACCGTGGTGCGGAGGTTAAGGAAGCTAGACTCCCCGTGGTGAACTGCAGTTCAAATTCTGACCGGGAGGCTTGGAAAACATTCCCCAGAGGGCCAGCACGTGGTGTGGTGGTTGGGGCTGCTAGATTCCACCTGGTTCAAGTCCGGGACCTGGTGGCTTGAAGGACATGTTGGGCATGTGTGTGTGAATGCTTAGAATCCCGAAAGGAAAAAGAAGGGGAGGGGACTGCAATATGGCCACCCCCTCTGCGGTGTTCTCTCTCTCTCTCTCTGTCTCTATTGAGTGCACATTCCCTTAAGCAAAAATAAATGAAAGAATGATGAGTGAAATTTTTTTTAAATGCTGGGCACATGTGTGTGCATGCCCCAAATCCTAGCGGATTGGAGAAATGGAGGAAAAAAGGTTGCGGTGTGATCATGTCTCACAGGGGGTGGGACTCTCCCTCTCTCTGGCAAGTGCACATGCTCTTAGCAACATTAACTTATTAATTAATAGGCTCCTCACAGGGACAACTTAAAAAAGAAGTTGAGAAACACTGGCTTACACTAAAAAAACAGAGTACGTGTAACAATCGCATGAGCAAGGCCAACGCAGAGTAATGTGGGGTGTGACCACCAGAGGCACAGTGTGACAGGGCTTTTCTCTGCCCTCACACAGTAAAACTGCTCTACCTAAAATGGCCTCTGAAAATAAGCTAACGAGCAAACAGTACATATGGTGACTAAGTCTGTGAAACACCTATTTCATCGTTTCTATGTTCACTACATTATTATTCCCACAACACTTTAAAACATACTCAGCTACCCACAAAACTGTACAAAAATGAAGAAACTCAACGTGGAACAATGAAAATACTTACTTTCTTCCTGCATTCGGGCTAGAATCTGCACATCGGTCACATCGTTTAGCTTATAATTGGATCCAATTGAGTCTTCATCTAATTCTGAAGCACTTAACTCACTATCTATAGAGGACTGAGGACTGAGTGGAGGATTTCTGTCTGATGAACCTTTCAAGTTACCTAAAAAAAAAAAAAAGTCAAACTTTGGTAAGAGAAAAACTAAAAACATGTCTACTGCTGTTAAACTGGTAATATATCCTTTGATTCCCTTGATTATTCTGCCTTTTCTGACTGCAATATTGCCAAGTGATGGGATGAGAAATGGGTCTCCTTATGAACAGCAGAGAGCTACGGAGACGCCCTACCTACTGTGGCCTGAACACAGAACACAGCTTCGCTCAAGCACATCATTCAAACTGCAGGTTCTCCAGCCCCGAATCGACCACACACAGACACGGCCAGGACCTGCCAACTGCTCTGAAGTGGGAGAAGAGGTGTCCTAAGACAAAGACACTGGGGAAGTTGATCTACATATTTACCGTTTCGCTTATATCTGATGCCAAGAGTACCTATTAGCAATCTAGAGGCGATTTAACTGTACAAGGATGTGCAAGGTTACACGGAATAAGTGGCCCATTTTATGTGAGAACTTGAGTGTCCATAGACTTCGGTACCCACGGGGGTCCTGGAACCAAGTCCCCGCATATGTTGGGGGACAACTGCGTAACTTAACTACTCTTATGGAATAATAAAGCTTTCGACACTTATGTGTTTGATCAATAACATGTCAGAGGATTTCAACTTCTACAAGACAGCCAGTGAAGCTGCTCTAGAATCACTGACAGATGACTTCGACGTGTAACGAATGTAGTGTCTCCTCCTCCCGAATTCACGGTTGCTAACCAACACCGTCATCTTTTCCCTAAATAAAAGCATCTACTTTCCCTAAACACAAAAACTGTAATTTGAGGAAAACTAGATTCCTCCGAGCTTTAGGAACCAAAAGGAGAGCAGTAGGCTCGTCCCTCCTACGTGTTTACCCTCCTTTCCCAAGTTAGTAACAGAGATCCAAGGGACTCCCTGACGCTCAGTGTGAAGCACGGAAGAGGAGGCGGAGAAATAACTACAGACTGTAAGAAGTTTTATCCCGTTAAACCAAACAGAGAAGAGAAAACGATGGCGAGGAATAAGGGACGCATCGTCAACTTCCACTGGGGAGTGATGAAATCCCACGCGGTCACTAACACTGCTAGCACAGATCTGTCCGGAACACCTGTTTTCCAGGAGTCAAAGGACTCAGCTCTAGCTGACGGGCATGTGAGGAGAGCAAGACACGAATAGCTAACATGCTTCCGTCCTCCAGGAGGAGCGCAGTGCACGTGGGAGGGGTACCACGGGGTCAGACGCTAACAATGCCCGAACCAAATTCTTTATTTTCAACAAGTACTGCAGGTTAGCGGTCGGTGTGTGAGGTTTTCCTAAGTGAACACTGACTCCTGTATCAGGCAGAGTAGGGCCCGTGAAGTCAGTAGGCTGGCAAGCACATGGATGCAATCGGAGGTGGCTACCAAAGCCTTTAAGAAGGGAACGACCCTGAGGAAGCTGTGATATTGACAGCTAACCACACTGAGTTACCGCAGCAGCAAGCGATGGGGTGAGTTCTGGGGAAGACGCGCGGCGCATCGGCAGTGTCGGGCACAGACCCAGGACAGAGCACGCGTCCATCCATCTGAGTCCATCCACTGACGGCCATCTGCCCCACCCCATTCACGCCCTGTCACTATTCTGGTTCATTCACATATAACTTGATACTCTTAACTAATTACAGTATCAAAGTTTATTAAAACTCCTATAAAAAGTTTTACACTCCATAGCTCTTCCACCCACACAGGCTGTTCACTGAGAACCTATTGCTAGAACGAACTGCACTTATGACCCCACTTCATAAAGCCAGACTGGAGAACTGGTAAGGACATGCCAAAGGCACTTCGCAGATATGACACGGGCTCACCTTGCACCTGTTGCCTAGTAGTGGCCCTGGAGCAATGACATCTGGTCCAACCAGCAGCACGTCTAAATACGACGACCCTACACTGATGAGTAAGTTACCTTCTGAGGTAGTAACGGGAGTTAAAACATTCCTTACCAACTCCATTTTGTTTTCTCCCTACCTGAATTTCCAGGAAGTATGAGCTGTTTGACTATCGGAGGTCGTACTGGGGTTGAGGATGGAGAATTGAAGCCACTGCTGTAGGGGCTACTGGCATTCGGACTGTAAGGACTGGTGTAACTCACAGAGTTGAAAGGGTTGTTATATAAATTCTGCCTCTTGAGAGCTGCAAGTGAGAAGAACAACGTCAGATTTAATGACAGAAGAAGTTAACATTTCGAAAGTTTTCCAAATAAGGAAATTAAGTCATTATCTATCTCAATTTAAAGAACATCCTTGTAATAAATTAGAAAAACATTAATAATCTCAACAAAATATTTTAGTTATCTTAACTTGTATGATGTAAATAAAACAATAGCCATAGCAACAATGGAGACGATGTAAAAAGAATATCTCCTAGTCAGATTAGCAGCCACTAAATTATCTCATTTCTATCTTCTTTTTTTTTTGGGATGGTCACGCCGCAATCCCTTCTCCTCCATTCTCCTCTCGGGATCTTGGGCACGCACGCACACGCACCTGGCGTGAGTTTTAAGCCACCAGATTCGGGACGCGAACTGCGGTCGACTACGTGGGAGTCCAGCGACATAGCCATTACGCTAACTGCTGGTTCCCTCATTTCCATCTTCTTTAAGTTATTGCTTAATAACACTGTCTCAACCCTGAGTGATCTTTAAAACTAAATTTAATATAGGGACCAGCAGTTAGCATAATGGCTATGTTGCTGGACTTGCATGTAGTTGAACACAGATCAAATCCCAAACCTTGTGGCTTAAACTCATGCCGGGTGTGTGTGATTGTGTGCCCAAAATCCTGAGAGGAGAAGGGATTGCAGCATGGCCATCCTCCCTGGGGAGTGATTTCTAGCTTTCTCTCTTTCTGGTGAGCAAATGTGCCCTATTGCAAAAACCTCTGAAAAAAAAAAATAAAGAAAACTAAAAGTATTTATGTTTTCTCATTTTCCCATGATAAACATTCAACTTATTTTTTTCTTTTTGCTATAGGGTACATGTGCTTACCAGAGAGAAACAGAGACGGGTAGAGTGAGACACACAGAGAGAGTGAGACATCACCCTCTCCACCTTGGAAGGGATGGCCGTACCGCAATTCCTTTTCCTCCTTCTCTTAGGATTTTGGGCACGTGTGCCTGGTGTGATTTTCAAGCTGCAGGGTCCAGGACTCAAATCACAAGAGTCAGCCACATGGGACCTAGGTGCCTTAAACTCTATACCACCTACTGGCCCCAAACGTATTGCCTTTTGAAAAACTATGAAATTATAAGTTTTAAAAGAGCTTTCCAAAGTTTGTTTTTTTGAACAAATAAAACAATAGTGACTACTTAAACATGAAAGTTTTTTTTTTTTTTTAGAAAATAGCCACTCTATAACTTTCCCCTCTCCCAAATACTCCTGTCCAAAAAAAAGGCGGGGGGGGGGGCGGACAAAGCAGTGGTAAAATACGATGCTCTGCATGGCTGACCTACGTGGGACGGTTCTGGATTCCTGCCTGGAGACCGGTGAGCTCACCCTGAGGCTGGCTGGGGCTGGACTGCATGGAGACCACACGGGGTACACTAGCAGGTGAGCTCATCCTCTGAGGGCTGGCTGGACTGCTGGAGACCATGCGGGGTACACTAGCCGGTGAGCTCATCCCCTGAGGCTGGCTGGACTGGGGCGGGGTGGATCAGCGTCAGGACCCTGCTGGGGCTGTGCTACTCTCTTTTGCTCATGGAGAAATCAACTTAACAAACCCTGTAGTATGTACATAAGATTACATAAGCACTACAACACCAGAGCTAAGATACATTAATAAAGTACCATCATATGCAAGAAAAGGAGCACTTGGAAGACCAGCCGCACCTCCTAGCGCACTGAAGTCCAGTGTGCTGAATATTTACCCGCTGGGTAGGATGCAGATGGTGCGATGTGGCGCTCTCTCCAGAGGCTCGCAGACAGACAAGTGTGACAGGCAGGAATGGCTGCACGGGGGCAGAGGGCCAGGGAAGGGGGAGAGCAACGTTTATAGCTGGGAGACGTGGCGGGTTTCAGGAGAAGCATGGAGCAGCCTGGAGGAGGCGCAGCCTCAGGGCAGTCCGGAAAGGAGCATGCCCTCACCTGAGTCTGCAGGCCGTAGAGGGGGGGTGGCGAAAATGGGTGTCTGGGGTCCGGAAACAAGACAAGCTCAGGGAGGAGGTGACGGTGCAGGGCAGGGCAGGAGCAGCAGCCACGCGCACGGCTGGGAGAAGGCTGGGAGAAAGGAACTGTGTCTGCCTAGCCTCTCTGTGAGTGAGAGAGGCCCAGGTAGCCCGCACACACTCGCCCACGTTGAGGGTGTACGAGGAAGCACGATCTGGGACGTGAGGACCCGAGCAGAAACGGCTTTCCTCTCCCTCACACTTCACTCCGTCCTGGGCTGCTGTGCAGTGTGCTGTTACTTGTTTTTTTTTTTTGGAGAGGTTTTTTTCGCTATAGGGCGCGTGCGCTCACCAGACAGAGAGAGACTCACCAGACAGAAAGAGACACAGAGACAAAAGCGAGAAATCACCTCCCGGGGAGATGGTCACGCCGCAATCCCTTCTCCTCCATTCTCCTCTCGGGATCTTGGGCACGCATGCACACGTGCCCGGCGTGAATTTTAAGCCACCGGGTCCGAGACACGAACTGCGGTCGACTACATGGGAGTCCAGCGACATAGCCATTACGCTAACTGCTGGTTCCCTTTTATTAAAATTAATTAATTAATTAATTAACTTGCTTATTTATTTATTTAGAGAATTTTGCTATGGGGTATGTGTACAAGCCAGAGAGAGACACAGACAGAAAGCGAGAAATCACCCCCCTAGGGAGGATGGCCACACTACAATCCCTTCTCCTCTAGGGATTTTGAGCACACAAGCACACGCACCTGGCGTGAGCTTCAAGCCACTGAGTCCAGGGCTCAAACTGCAGTGGCCACACGGGAGTCCAGTGCCTTAACCACCACGCCACCTGCTGGCCCCTGTCACTGGGTTATTGATCACTAGCTTTCCGTGTCCTCGGCCCTGTCGTCTTCTCACTCTGCCCCACATTCCTTCTCCTGGGAAATCTCCATCACATCGTGACGTCAATTACCATCAGCCAGACTCGCTGTGAGCCACACTGCCAGGCTCCAGCTGCCCTCTGCGCTGCACAGCCGCATACAGCCTGGTTCCCGTCTCGCCCAGTGAGGCGGGCCTACCACGACAGCAGGGACGGCCCTCTCCTAGTCTTCCCTCTAGAAATAAAGTCTCTCCTACGGGCCCTCTCAGTGAGCACACTCACCTGCCAGGTACGCTGGGACTCTCAGTGAGCACACTCACCTGCCAGGTACGCTGGGACTCTCAGTGAGCACACTTGCCCTGCCTGTAACCTGAAAATGTAGGTCACTGTTGACACCTTCCTCTTCACTCCCTCCTATCTGGCTCCCTCTTTTCCTGCTATATCCTCTATCTTTCCTACTGCCCCTTCCCCTCACCACAGCCCAGCTACTGCCATCTCCCCACCGTCCCTGCCCCAGAAAGCGCCTACACTCACTCTCGACCCTCTCTACCCTACCTTCCGCACTACTGCTAAACGCACCTTCACAGCAGCACACACACCTGTGTATGCCCTTCACCGTTTCCTCTGTGCTCTGCGGGCAGAGTCCAAGCTCTTTACCGTGGCCTGCAGGCCTCCCTGGCTGGCTCCCACCCGCCCCTTTCTGCCCCTCCTCCAGCCACCTCGCTCGCCGCTCACCGGCTGTTCCACAGGTGCCTTTCTCAGGAGCCTTTGCACACTGCACTGCCTGGGATGCCCTACCCCCGCTTCCTCCTCCTTCTTAATATTTAAACTTTTCAGAATCTTTAGGATTCAGGTTAAACAGCACTTCCTGAAAAAAGAAAACTCCTGTTTCTCAACACTCAGAGCGCTGACTCCCAGCCCTGGCTAGTAATAAAGACCACCTGGATCGCTGAGTGTCCCCCCAGGCAGCAGACTCCCCGAGGGCTGGTGCAGAGCCTGCTTCTCCTCATCACGTACCCCCACCCTGTTCCCAGTACCTGATCCATAGCAGACTCTCAGTAAAAATTCATGAACCCACGCGTAAGTGTCCAGTGCAGACACTGGACCCCGAGGAGTGAGTACAGTCACTGGATCCCCGAGGAATGAGTGCAGACACTGGACCCCGAGGAGTGAGTGCAGACACTGGACCCCCAGGAATGAGTGCAGACACTGGACCCCCGAGGAGTGAGTGCAGACACTGGACCCC